GGACCGGCGGCGCGTGGTCCTGCCGGCCATCGACAACATCAAGTACAGCACGTTCGAGGTGCAGCAGTATGCCAACGCCGCCCACGGCTACAATTGGGGCCTATGGTGCATGTACATCATCCCGCCGCAGGACTGGCTAGACCAGGGCGACGAGGCCGCGCCCATCAGGTGAGGAGGGTCCCGCCAGCAGGGGGCGCTAGTGAGCAAGGTGCTGGGGACCAATGAGGCCTCTGTCCCACCAGGAGGGTGCAGGCCCCTGGGCGTTTGATCTGATTTGTGGTCTCTGCAGAGCATTTCTCCTTATTTTCAACCAATTCCTTTGGCTCAAAAGGGGAGATTGTAACATTTTTAACACTTTTTGAACACCCCTTATGGAGTCTCTTGAGCCACTGGGTGGGGACCCATTCACCCAGGGCAATGGGGGCTGTACTAGTCGGGTTCCCTCCAGGCGTCTCTCACCAAATGCAGCGTCTCCTTTCCAGGGGTCCCTGAGACCTTACCTCAGAATCTAGGGGCAAACCCTGCTTTCTTGGGAATCCCACAGGGGCTGGTGCCTCTCCTACAGCACATGGGTCCCCCCAGATGTGGCCGACCCTGATCCCACAGCCCTGGCCAGGTCTATGGAGGCTGCCTTAGCCAGGCCCATCACGTCTAGGAGTGTGCAGCCATCACAGGCCACTGAGCCGTCCCCAGCAGCACGACATTCTCTCCTGAAGGAACCCTAAGCACTTGCATCTGCAGGCAGAGCAGCGGGTCACGCACTGTGGGTCAGGCAAGGTGGGTGAAGTTACCCAGCCCCAGCCAGCCCTGCATGGGTTCCAGGGAGGAGAAATGTTCACTCCATAGAGGAGACTGCTTGTGACAGTGGTGGCACTGAGGAGGGCCCAGGCTGGGGAACCCCACACCACTACCCCCAGAGTTGGGTCCTCGAAGGCCCTGAACCTGGAGCTGGGTGCCTGCTGCACTAGCTGAGGAGCAGGTGCAGGCACCTTAGGTAGGAACCTGCTCAGGGCTCCTTCAGCCCTGGGCAAGAGCAATGCTTTGGGTTATTTTCCTCCCTTGATGCACTTGACAGTCTTTGCCATTGGCACGTGAAGATCCCACCCTGTGTGTGAGATTCAGGCCCACAGTCAGCATTTCCCACAGGTACTGGCAGGCACAGAGGCCTTGAGTGGGACTCCTGGCCTCATGGAGTCCTGTGCACAGCATTGCCAAACAGTCTCATTAGCATCACTGGAGGGCTGTGAAAACTCTCTGACAGGAACACACCAAGATCAAGAAGACCAAGCAGATGCTGCACAGAAAACAGGACACATAGCCAACCTGCTCAGGAGAGGAGGCAGTACAGTGACCAGGATGTGCCCTGCAGCCTCCATGAGAAATCACTGCACATCCAGCACAAGAAGGAAAATGACACATGGATGATACCAAGGGTGTATGAGGTATGGAGCAAAGAACTGTACATGGGGTTGGTGAGCTGAATGAAAGGGGCAACCATGTTGGAGGCCATGATTCTCCAGAGAGTTAGAAAATATTCCTGAATGACCAGCCAGGCAAATGCTGGGAATCTACAGAGCAAGTGAACTGAACATATATGAGCAAATGGAGGCTTCAACACCAAGCTCCTGGCAATATTGTTCAAGAGAGGCCCAAAAGATGAGACTAAATGACCATGAAAACAATAGGCCTGCCAGACCTCACCCTCTTTCGAGGGAATATGGCTTGGTGGCTGTGCATCCAGGAAGGTGGATTGCTCCATTTCCTCACCGACAATGACAGGGAACAATCTTGTCAGACATCACTTACCTCAAAGAGAATAAGTGACAGAGAGAGTCCTGTCAGACTTCACCTCCTCACAGAGAATCAAGAGTAACAGTGGAGAGTCCTGTCAGATATCTCCTCTTCACACTGGGGATCAGGAGAATGGAGGAAGACTCCTGTCAGACATCACCTTCTCACACTGAGATCAGGAGTTCCTGTCAGACATCACCTTCTCACATTGAGGTCAGGAGTAACAGGAGAGAGTCCTGTCAGACATCACCTCTTCACACTGGAGATCAGGAGAAATAGCAGAGAGTCCTGTCAGACATTTCCTCCTCACACTGAGGAGCAGGAATAAGAGGAAGAGTCCCATCAGACATCCCTTCCCACTGAGAATCAGAACCTAGGAAGACTCCTGTCAGACATTACCTCCTCACACCCACCGAGGAGTAGGAGAAACAGGTGAGACTCCTGTTGGACATTTTCTCCTCATACTGGGGATCAGGAGAACTGAGGAAGACTCCGATCAGTCATTTCCTCCCTCACACTGAGGAGCAGGAGAAACAGCAGAGTCCTGTAAGACATCGCCTCCTCACACTGAGGTTCAGAATAACATGGCAAAGTCCTGTCAGTCATTTCCTCCCTCATACTGAGGAGCAGGAGTAACAGGGAAGAGTCCTGATAGCCATCACACACATGTACATAGATGTCCACACATGGATACACTAGTTCTGCAGGAGAGCAGAGAAGAGAAGCCAGCCTGATCTCACTCACAGGCTCCTAGTCACTCCACTGCAGTGTGAACAGAATGCTCCAGAGGAGCTGGGATTCATGCTTGGAGTCTGTGTCATTCACCACCTACAACATGACAGCCTGAAACCTGATTCAAACTGGACAGCTTCAAACAATGTTTCATCGTGTGGCATCAGGCATGGTTGATCCAGGGCCCAAACATGGCCGCCAGAAGCTGTGTCCTCCCAGCTCCTCCTCCTCCTCCTCCTCCTCCTCCT